CCACCCGTGCGGCAGCCACCGCCCGCTGCACCCCGACTCGGCCCTGGGCTGCTCTCCTGTGGGTACCTGGAGCAGGTCAGACATCCAGGAGGCTGCACTACTCAGTGCTGATTGTCCCCAGTGCTTCACCAGCAGCCTGGCAAGAGTTGGAGATAGAGAAGAGCAAAACCAGCACTGTAGTCCCCCAGGAAGTGGGGATTTCACGGGCTCTGGGATGCTGGAGGTCTGGGGCAAATGCTGGGAGCCCTGGGGCAGGTGGCAGTGTCTCTCCTCATCTTTAGATCAGAGCCTTGTCTGTCTGTGAGGGGCTTTTCATGCTGCGTCCCTCTGGGTGCCACTGTTTGCCAAAAAGCAGAGGCTGCTGCTGCTGTTCACCCTCTTTAGAGAGCAGGGGAAGGGATGGGTGCTGTGTGTCGAGACGGGCAGAAGTCTTCCCTGTATCTCCCTGCCTGTGGGACAGTCCCTGTGCTCTGCTCTGCCCCAAAAGCTGAACAAGAGTCAAAGGTCCTTATTTAAATTGCTGATCCTCAGCTGCAGAACAGGGAAATTAAAGGGAGATTTTGCTGTAGTTTCTCTGAAAGGCTCTAAAACTTTTTAACAGTATGTTGGGAGCAATTTTTGCTTCATATTGGCACCTCAGGTGTTGTTCTACCCGTGACTTGCTTTTCACTTCTTTTTCTCACCTCTGCTCTAAATCCAGTCTCAAGTGCAACTTCGCAGAACACTTTCACATCCTTAAATCCCAGGCCACAGCCAGAACAGGGAGTTAGGGAGTGGTGCTGCAAATGCAGCTACTCTCCTAGTCCTTAGCTGTTTAAGACCCGAGGCCAAGGCAACAGCCTGGTCATGCAGCCAAGGGAAAACAAGGAGCTGTTAAGAAGAGTTTGTAGGTTTCCAGTGTGTTGCTCTGGCTCAGGCTGGGGTTTGGTGAGGCAGATAATGAAGCCTGGGGTTTGTCATAAAATGACTCACTGTCAGAGCTGCACTGGGATTTAGGCAACCTCAGCCCATGAGCCAAAGTCGCAGAGACTGGTGAGTTGAGAGGCTGCCAGTTTTATGATTATTTTGTTTTGTTTTATTTTACCACCTGCTTTCAAACCCTTTCAAAAGTGCCATTTTCTGAGGGTCTGGTGTTTCTTATTCTTCTGACGTTCCAGTTCCTGGAGGTACCTGCTCTGACATGGTAGGTGTTCAGAGGAAGGTCATGCACTGGTTTTCCTGGAGAATGTTTTATCTTAAAGCAAGTAAAATTTGCACACAGGAAAGAAGCATAGTCTTCCTTTTTTTTCCTCTTGCTTGGCCCCAGTTAGGGAGGTGACTCACCTTGTTCTGATTATACAGCTGATATGTTAAGAGGTTCCTTGGTTAAAAAAAGAGCAAAATCCTCACTATTGTTAATTATGACATTATTATTAAAGAAAATATTAAACAGAATTAAACAGATCATCAATATTTTATAGTGGTTTTCTTTAGCCCACGGAGAGCTTTTAATGGAGAAAACATCTGAGCTTGAACCTGGCTGCTGCAGGGGGTAAATTAAGAACAAAGAGCATCTCTCCTCAGATCAGTAGCAAGTTCTACTTTGGTGGGTCCCAGTCCATGGAGTCCTCCATGTCTTCTGAGGACCTTCAGGAATGGGTCAGTCCTGTTTGGTATTCTGTGGGTCACCTGAACAGCTTGCTGGGAGGGAACAATGAGTGAGAAAGTTTGAGAAGCAGCCCCAGGATGAGCTAAGGCTTGAGTAGCATACATCTGAGTGCAAATCACAGTCTCCCCAACTCTCTTTGTTTGCCAGTATGTTGTCTAGGTCATTAATACTTAAAGAGCAATACAGCAGCTGGCAGTTAAACAGAGCCACGTTAAACAGTGGTGCTGCTGAGTCTGGGAGCTGTGACAATGATGGCAGCACCTGGTGGGGTAGAAGAAATGCTGTGGCTTGAAATCACAGGATGAGACTGGCTGGAAGGATCTCCAGAGGTCAGCAGGTCCAGCCTGGCTCCTTCTCCCAGGGTGCCTGAAGATGGAGCTTCTGGATAACCTCCCTTTGGCTGCTTGTTTGTAGCTGTCGTGCTGGGAGAGGCTGAGCAGAGCTGAGAAAAGGGCCTGGAGCTGAGAGAGATGGGCAGAAATGCTGCTTCCAGCTCTCTTAATTTGGGGAGATTTATGCCCAGTCTTTCAGGAATTGACTGGATTTAGAAATGAGGTGGTGTCACTCTCTCCATGGCTCAGTGCCTCCCTGGCTGGGGCAGGCATCAACTTTTGCTCATAAATATGCAAGCTGTTAATACATGAGACAGGCAGAGCCATTCTACATTATTTTCATGGCAGGAAATTCTCAGGGCATCTTTGAAGTTAAACCATTAACTTTTTTTTTTTTCCTCCTTCCCTTCTGTTGTTCTCACATGTCTGTTTTCTCCCTCAGGGACAATGAGGAGGTAACATTTTGCTTCAGTGGGTCTAACTACTCCATTCCATGTAGGGGAAAAAAATGGTCCTAATGGTAATTAGACTCTGAATGGGATAGTAATTTCTTTAATGACTTTTTTCATGGCAGTCTTTGGGGAGGTGACTTTTGTTTTCCCTGTGCTGGGTTAGAAAGTTGCTCAAATGTTTCCAGGCTGCTCACTCCCTGTGATGCAGCCAAACAGCATCATCTTCCAGGGCTGGCTTTGCACTGAGCTGGTGTAGTGGGTAAACCTGCAAGAGAGCTGTGCTTGCAGCCCCTGCTCTTCCTCCCTCTGCCTTTGGCCTCTGTTTGTGCTGGGGGCACAGGATAGGAAGAAAGGGGGGATCAGATGTGGAGGAGAGACCCTCACCCAGCCTCTCTCCTCCAAGCCTCTGCCTCCTGCCCTGGCTCTATCATCAATCTCTGTGCACTGCTGTTTTGCCCCCCTTTGCTCAAACCTTACTGCCACTGCCATGGGATTGAGCTTTCCTCCTGCCAAGGAGGATGAGTTGTCCCTCATCCACAAGTGAAAAAATTGAATTGTGCCTTCATGGCTGAGAAGCTTTGAGCTGTCTGCTGCCTGTGTTGGTGCTGCAGAGCAGCGAAGGGTCCTGCTGTATTCATAAATAAAACATGTCTTTGGATAGTGACAGCATTAGGAAATGATTCAAGGTTTCTAGATACACAGCATTTGTAAATATGAGCCTCAGAAGCAGCATATGCCCCCTTCCATGTTTTAAGGAATTAGAAAGTTTTCATCCTCAAGTGGTAGAACCAAAACATTTTCAGGTCTTTTAAGTCCGCCTGGAAGTTAAATGAATAAAGGCTTGAGTACCTAAAAAATAAATTACTTCCAGTCTTTCTGTAATTCTTTATGGTGTTTTAAATTGAAGACTTTTTTCCTTGAAAATAGAGGTATGACAAAGACTCATTCTCTAGCCCCTTTCACTCAATACATCTAGAAGCAAGTGTGCTGTTGCAGATGAAACTCCTATTTTTGTGCCTTTTTTCAGATTGCAGAGGTCTGTGCTTTGGTCTTTGATCAAACA